AAGTTCTCTTAATAATTTAAGAAGTTATGGTCATTTTTGTCTTGTTGGTTTTTAGGTTTGGTTTGGTGTAAGTGATTTCCTTCTTTTTTCCAAATATACTCTTATAAATATCGTTAAATAAAAAGGAATTTTTTAAATAAACAAGTTCATAACCATTCAAGGATATATGAAGGGGTTTCATAATGGGCAAAAATGATATAACAAACTGAAGAATACTTTCATTATTAAGGAGAAACCGTTGTGCAATCGCTTTGCGAATGAAATATTGACCAGGTCAGTCTATTACAACAGGAATCACATAATCAGAAAGATACCCTTATATAGGCTCTTGATCATATACAATTTTAAGAGCATATAAGTACCTTTCTATACCTTTCAAATTGCTTTTGACAAAATCAATAAGAATAGAGTCGTGAACATACCTATCATCTTTTTTCTTTACAAATCTATTGTTATAACTGTATAATACAAGTCTATTTATTAGTTCTTCATCAGTACACACACCCGCACCCCGCATACGATTATGATATGAAACACCAAGATTCACGATAAATCGCTGATCAAGGTGCTTCATAATCAAACCACTATCTATGAATTTAAAATTAAATATTCCACTATACAGTATGGCTGGTATTGAGTATGGATTCATTAAAATCATCGTCATATGTTTTGACCGGAAGGTAACAGTGGTGTTGGGTTGCTGTGAAATATGGATATTATGATAATCATCAACATTTAATATGAGCGTATTATTGAAATTTTGCGCAAATAAATTCTCTGCATCTTTTTTATACGAATTAGATATTCTTCTCTTTTGCTGATTTACTGCCTTGGGTGTCGTAGCTATACTGATATTTGCTATTGTGTTCAAACCTTCATTACTTGTTCCTGCCGAATCTAGATAACATGCAATGTCTAACTTAAAAGAATTAATTCTTGTATTATTTAAAGAAGCAAGCACATCAGGAAATTTTTAAATAGGATGGATATCGATTATCAGCTGCAGGGGTGATTGTTATCAATTAAAAAAATCAATAATAATCGATGTTTAATTGTTGATCGATATATAAAGATTGTAATCGATTTAATAATAATCGATTATAATTGATTAGATGTTTGCAATCGATTAAAATATAATCGATTATAATTGATTGGATAGTTATAATCGATTAGAAAGTAATTAATATTAATCAATTCTTATAATGAATCGATCATTAGTGATAACTTTCGCAAGTAACTAATCTTTTATTGCAAACAAAAATTTTATTTATTGCACGGGTCTTAGTAACAACCTGTGCTTTTTTTCACTTTTACACATTTAGCTAAATCGGAACATTAATATAAATCAATGATCATTTTTTTTTTCCGTTTCACACATGTCTAACTTTTTTTTTTTTAGTTAAAAGCATCGTCGCTTTCGTGGTGCTGTCGCTTTTCTGGTGTTGTCGCTTTTCCTGGTGCCATCGTTTTTCTGGTATCGTCGTTTTTTCTGATGGCGTTGATTCTGATCTCTTTTCCTGGTGTCGTCGTTTTTCCTGGTACCATCGTTTTTTCTGGTGTCGTCGTTTTTCCTGGTGTCATCGTTTTTCTTGGTGTCATCGCTTTTTCTGGTAGCATTGATTCTGATCTCTTTTTTTGGTGTTGTTGCTTTTTCTGGTGTTGTCGTTTTTTTTGGTGTCGTTGCTTTTTCTGGTGGCATTGATTCTGATCTCTTTTTCTGGTATCATTGCTTTTCCTGGTGTCGTCACTTTTCCTGATATCGTCGCTTTTCCTGGTGTCGTCGCTTTTCCTGGTGTCGTCGTTTTTCTTAGTGTCGTTGCTTTTTCTAGTGGCATTGATTCTGATCTCTTTTTCTGGTGACAATAATTCTGATCACTTTTTCTGGTATTGTCGCTTTTCCTGGCGTCGTCATTTTTCTTGATGTCATCGCTTTTTCTGGTGGCATTGATTCTGATCTCTTTTTCTGGTGTCGTCGCTTTTCCTGATGTCGTCGCTTTTTCTAGTGTCGTCATTTTTCTTGGTGTCGTTGCTTTTCTTGGAGCCTTTTTCGTGATTTTGTAAGTGGTCTTGTTACTTGGTAGATTTTGCTGTCGCTTTTCTTGAAGCCTTTTTCGTGATTTTGTAAGTAGCCTTATTACTTGATGGATTTTGCTATTAGTTTTATCGGCTTGCATATATATCTAACTACTCTTTTTTAGTAGGTGTTTCTTGTGGATGGTGTTGCTTCATCATTATAGTGATCTATCATTATTAATGGAGCGATTTTGTTTTGAGGAGCTGTGATTATGTTGTAGTGATATTATAAATGTCCTTGTAGTAGTTTCTTTAGGGGAGTATAATTCCTTTTTTTTTATAGTTGTTTTGTCCTTTTTATTTGTGAACATAACTAATCCACTTTTCTATGTTACAACAAATATGATTTTGACACTTGCATTCCTCCCTGGTCCTCAAGTATAGATGTTAAGTGAGACTTGGGGCTTCGCATTGGCAAAAGTCGAAGCTAGGATCTCGACTTTTGCTAAAAAAAGTTCTGAAAAGCGAAATGTGGCGAACTGACAAATGTATAAAATGTGGCAAAACTTGCGAAATATGATGAATTGACGAAACTAGTGAAGCATAGTGAAACTGGTGAAATGTGAAGAACTGATGAAACTGGTGAAAAACGGCAAAGCTTGTGAAATGTAACGAAACTGGTGAAATGTGGTTAACTGAAAAAACAGAGAAATTGGCGAAATATGATCAATTGATGAAACTGGTAAAATATATGAGCAATAGATCCAAATTTAATCAGGATGAAAGCCTGAGTTAGGGCCAGGTTAAGGTAGGTATTAGTGGTATTATTAATTTGATATAATATAAATCTCCTTGGAACAGTCATAAAAAAAGTATATAATTCTTTATAAGTTAGGATCAAACTATTTTGTACAAGATACCTGGGTATTAACTATGTAGCATATATTATTTTATGTAAAATACATCTCTTGTATAATACCCAGGTACTAACTTGGATTTTAACTGTGGAATGTATCGTATCTGGGGTACTATAGTTCGCGCTATATGGTAGCTTACTAAATCATTAATAAATAAAAACTTTAATTAACTTTTGGAAATGGTATTTAGTAAAATTATCTGGGATAATAATTAGAATTATTCTTTTATCAAATATAAAAATGGTCTGATTTAGTTATTTATTTCTAAATTGATTTGTCTCCACATT